TAGACTCACTGTAGATTTCCTCTCTATGCTCAGTCACAGAAAAATAAAGAGGGTGGAGGGGCAGGGGGCGGGGCGGAGAGTGGGAGGAGAATTGTGAGGAGAGCAGAGGAAATGGGTGTGAAGGCAGGGAAAGGAAAGTAGAGGAGAAGGGGAATTGGAAAGAGACAATGAAGAGGTGGGGTAAGGGAGGTATTGGAAGTTCAAAGTGCTTAGATTTCAGCTTCTTGGAAGGTGGAACTGAGTGAAAACTCTGCTACGTTTCCTACAATGTTCAAGATCTCTTGCACAACCAGGTTTATCTGCCTCAGTCGTATTTCTCCCTTCTCCTGGAGTCTTGAGTCCACCCTTGTCTCCCTCTCTTAAGTCTTAACTCTGAAATGTCTCTGTGGATTATTCCACTTATAACACCAATATAACATAAAGTAACATAATGTCATAACGTCAACATCAACAATAGTAATGGTCTTTTTGAATATTTTTGCTGTAACTGCCTACTCTAGAAGGGTGTGTCTTATCTTACCCTGACTGCTTGGCACTAAAACCTCATCCACAAGAGCCCAAGGAGGGAACTGGCTCTCAGAGATAGCAAGGATGACTTCCACTACTTTTCTTGCCGTGAGCATCAAGGACACAGAAACTTTAGCTGATCACTTGGTTAAATATTGGGGAACAGGAAGATAGGTAGGTACTATTTCCTCTTGTTGGGAACAGAGAAGAAGGATCAGTAGTTGGAAAACATGAACTTGGTGACAGAAATGACACTGGGATAGAATGGTAGAATTCTGTACATTCAACGATTTATTAAGTGCAAATACTTTTTGTAACAAACACAAACACAGGCTATACACATGGATTTCACCTGATGGTATGAATAGGCATGCGATAAATTGCACCTGTGGGAAGAATCACTGGAGAAGCTCAATATCAGCTGTGAATAGTAGGCCAATTGCTAATTGTGGAAGAGACAAGCAACAACTCATACACAATCTTAAGCTGAAGCTAAGGAACATTAAATCAAATCCACGGGAACCAAAATCTGACCTTGAATCTATCCCACTTGAATTTGAAAACCATCTCAGGAACAGGTGGAGGACTTGAATATTGATGAGCAAAGACCAGAAGAGATGTGGGAGGACATCAAGAATATAATCCCTGAAGAATGCAAAAGGTCATTACAAAGACAGAGGAGGAAGAAAAGACCAAGA